TGCATATTACACAAGTAGAATGTTAGATGATGAAATTGCTAAATTTAAAAACTTAAAAATTTATTCAAGTAACAACAGTTTATCAAATAATCTTGATTTCTAATAAGGTGAGTTAAATTTTCATTAATTGAAATTTATTAATTGTTATTAATTAATTACTAACAATATTATTTACTTGTAATAATAATAAAGGAAAATAATTGATGATTAATTAATTTTTATTGCATTCATTAATCACCTTTATTAATTTATTTTTCATTTGTTAATCAATTTATCATTATTTTTATTTTATATATTTTTTTGCTGTTAATCATTTTGTTTTTATTAATTTTAAAACTTTATCAAAAAGTACTTCAACACTTCAATAATTTCAAATTCTTCAATTTAATAATGATCATGTTGAGTATTATTGTGACTTTGATAATGAGATTGTGAAGAATTATGACATGATCTTGACATGTAATCATTGTTGAAAAATGATACTGGTACTGTTGATGTGTCTGATATAAAAATTTGTAAGTTAATAAAATTTAGGCTTATTTGTATTTAATATCATACCAAATAACTTCAAAAATCTCCAATATATTTCCTTGAACTCCAAACAAATTGTCATATTTAAAAAATAATCATTGGTAATTAACAATGACTTTCTAGCATCATCAATTAACTATAGTATAGTGCAAGTCACTTAGTCCCACAACTTTCTGTGCCACACCGCCAATTTTGAGAAAAAATTTCCCAATCAAAAAATGCAATAAAAATTTTAAAGTCACATGATTTTTGAAAATTTTCAAGTGCTAAATAAATATATTAAAAATTTTTCCTTTACATTTATTCCTATATATACATTTGTAAATGATGATTAGAACAATAAACAACAACAATAATGATTATAGTGATGTTATTAAATATTAGTTAAAATAAAAGAGAAATTTATATAAACTATTGAATGATTGATAAAACCTTTGTTAGTATATTTTGTTCATAGATCTTGCTTGTCCTTGAAACTTACTTCAATTACTCCTACACAAACTGTTAAATAATTATAAACGTTCATTAGAATCTTTTGCAAATTGCATATTTCTTTGATTAATGCGATAGTTTATTTATTAATTTAAAATAAATGAACTTAGTTGTTCTTTGTATTTTTTTTTAATAACAAAGATAATTCTCTTCCCGTTCATCTGGAAAATTCACATGACAAAAGATCTGCGATATAAGGGAAATTTTTCAAATTTTTATTTTGTTTCAATTCATCTATTTTTGTTTGGTATATATTAACTTTTTTGTGTAACACCGCGTCATTTTAGGGCTAAACATAGTAAATTCAGTAATCTTGCATAAATTTGAAGCTCAAATTCTCCACAACAACATGGCATATCAATGAGATGAAATCGTAATTTTGTAGAGGAAGGTCTTGGCTTCAAATACATGATTTATTTTGGAGTGTTACATTTCCATTTTTGGAGAATTTGAAAATCTACACAACCAATAAAAAATTGTGGGACTAAAGTGAATTATTCACTTTATTCGTTATTATTATGAATTTGAGTATTCGAATTACATTGAAAGTTTATTCGAATAAATTTTAATTCGAATAAAATGAATAATTCGAATAAGGAAATTAATTCGAATGAAAAAATTAATTCGAATAAGAAAATTAATTCGAATAAGGAAATTAATTCGAATAAGGAAATTAATATTAATATTAATTTGAATATAGCAAATAATTTGAAAAAATTAATTCGGATAAAACAAATAATTAAGGTCCAGTTTAAATTCAAGCTCACCGGAAAGACATGAATCTTTCCTTATTAGTTTCATTTTTAATTTCAATTTTTATAATATTAAAATCAATATTAAACCTTGTTGTATATATAGTTTGAATATTTAAGTAATTGAACACCCATGATTCCAAATAATCTAATAAAATGAATGAACAAACTCAGGATTCCGATAATGAATAAAACAAATAAAACAAATAATTTGAATAAAGCGAATTAAATTTTTAATTTGAATAAACTTTTTAATATTAATATTAATATTAAATTTTTAATTTGAATAAACTTTTTAATTTGAATAAACTTTTTATTTTGAATAAACTTTTTAATTTGAATAAATTTTTTAATTCGAATGAATTTTTTTAATTTGAATAAATTTTTTTAATTCGAATTAAAGGTCAACCATATTACGAATACAGTGCGGATCATCTATACTCAAAAGTTAAAATTTTTGAAATATTATGTGATCCACACATTGGATTTTAAAAA